GAAGAAATCGCTATGGCAAGATTCAAGAAGGGCAGCAAGGTCGAGGTTCTGCGTCAGGGGCATTGGCTCTGTGGCGAGGTCGTCTCCGGCGACGGTCACACTTACAGCGTCAAGTACAGTTGGTTTCAGATGAAGAGGGAGGGAATATTACACCGGGTTCCTAGAACGGCTCTTAGACCCATTCCTCCGCCACTTGAAGTGTCCAGGAAGTGGGTGTCTGGCGATCTCGTTGAGGCGTTCGACAATCCCTACTGGAAGAAGGCGGTGGTTCAGAAGGTTTTAGGTGTGAACAGATTTTCTGTTAGGCTGAATGGGTGCACCGCCGATCTCATTTTACCCAAATCCCATCTGCGAGCTCGACGGCGTTGGGAAGACGGCAAATGGTTAGTGCTTGAAAAAGTACTGAAGAGAAAACCTGACCGGGAGGCCGCCAACGATGCTGTGACTGCTAAGAAGATTAAGGTATCATCATCAACTCCTCTGCATCCAAATCCCTTATTTGCAAATGTGGGGTTCAAAAGAGATATAGATGTCCATGGATCAGAGCTACATGCCTATCGACATGCTTTTCAGGTGTTAGTTGGGAAGAAGAACTGAAGATGAAAAAGCTACGAGTTACACTTCATACAACAGATGATGAACATAGAATGGCGCTGAGAAACTTGAGTAGTAGGAATAGCCCTTTTTGTTATTATATATTTAGATGTTCTCTTGATTTCTTTTTGTTGTCCTTTTATGCATTTATATATGAAAACTACCAAATTGTGAGATATAATATTGAATATTAACAAGTGTTCAGAAATTCTATATTAATTTGTGGTCTCCTGTTAATTTGTTACTGTTAATATCTTTTGGTTTCTCTTTGTTTAAATAAAAAAAGTGTTGGGCACTCTAGTCCCGCATTGTTGCCACAAATGGAGTAAAAGAAGCACCGTTGCACATGATCCGGAAACAATCCTGAATTCCTGATCAGTGAAATAACAATGTTATAAATTTTCTAATTGTCAGAATTTGCATGCCACAGCTGTTCCTGTTATTTGACAGAGCAAGGTCGTATAACTCTTCAGTGAAGTCATCTGAAACAATTTTTGACCCTCCAGGTTGATGGAAATTTTTAGTTTGTGAGATTATTTACTGAGAAATATTATGTTATTTACCTGTTTAAACTGATGTTCGAGCAATCATTCTTACAGGCTACAGCTCTCCAAACCTCTTCCATAATGTAACCTTGCGCTTCTCCGCAGGCTATTTTACGCTTTCCTGTCTAGAAACAATCCTGTCTTGAAACAAGATGCAGTTCAGCTAAATATTCTTGGTTATTTTGGTTAGTTCATAGTTAGTTTATATTGTTGTATAAGTAGGCAAAGCAGCTTGGTACAAAGTTTTCAGCTTAAAACTTCAAGAGCAACGAATGCTAATGCCAAATGGGACGAAGTTGGTAGGTTTTAATGTCTTGAGAATCTTAAATTGATGAGGATGGCTTTTCTTTGAGCACACTGATTGATGCAATGCATTTGAGTGCAATAATGGAAGGTAAATTCTGAAAGAC